GTCTCTCATACTTTCTTTGGGTAGCATGGTAGTTAGGAACCGAACGGGTTTTACAGCCGAACGAATATTAGTTGAACCTTCGTTATGTTCCACACACCTATATCAGGTCGACAAGTTTTTCTTCGCACTGACCGTCAATACGACTTAAATTTCTCTCTTTGATTACGAGAGATGATGTACAAGCGGAGCGAGGCGAACCGTCGTCCTGTGCCGTATATCTCTTTGTTCGCTTTCCCAAAACATCATTTCTCAGCTCCAGTACATCATGTGCATGTGATTTTTTCTTAACACTGCAGAGGAACTGAGCGATTCCGAAGGAGAAGACAAATCTAGCGAAGACTTGGAGTCAGGTGAGTAGTGCGGATGTGAAACTTTATCGGTATTGGCGATTACTGATGTCTGAGTCAGACTTAAGCTGCTGATAAATGTGTGAATGAGCCGTGTGAAACGAGATTCAGTAACAATGACTCGGTAACTCACTTAGTTGACTTCGTTCATTCGTCTGACCAGGAAACCAATCATACAAATCATATTTTTTTCATTTTCTGATTGTTCCAGGAACTGCAACAGAACTGGCTCAAGCAGAACCAGAAGTACACGTGGATGAAGTCGTCAAAACGCATTGTCACAGTACACTGAGGTAAGCTAGTCTTGACGTAAAGCGTGGTGAGGTCAGGTTCTTGAAACTGTGAATGTTTGTCACACGTTTTTGTGTGGAAGATCGCTTTGAACACAAGCACAGACCCGTGGATGGGACTGCAAAACAAAAGTCACTCTTCGAGAAAATATGGATCCTGGGAGCTGATTCCAGTATCCCAACGTGATCAAGTTGGCTATTCTTAGGTCGACAGCTTTCTTAAATTCTACGGACTTGTTTCAGGAACTAGAAACCAAAGCGCCCGTTTCAGAAGGGCTTGGTAAACAATCGATTTTTTGTAACTGGGCTACGTTTTACTTTTGACACAAGCCTCATCAGGTCAGGTGAGCAGCTCACCAAGTTGGTCAAGTTTTAAGGCAAACGGAGAACTAATCACTAAGTCATCTTCAGATTAGTGTTGAATGTCAGTAAACAGTTCCCGCCGGTCAGTGTGCTCACCTAAATCTTGCGTTGTTGGAGAGTTTCAAATTGGTTCCGATCGGTTTTGGTTCTGAAATCTTCCACTTTAAGATGCTTCAGTTGATGACTCACCGTGGATGCCGCTGGTAGATTTCGTTGGCCTTTGTGGGCTTCTGGGTGTTACGACCATTTAGTTGGGGGGGGGAGGTGGAATCCAGATGATACCTCCTCGTCCTTCTGATAACCGCACACCAACACGTGTCAGCTTGACCGATCCACATGCTTGCCATTTTCACACCTTTTCTGAGAGGCTTCGCCATTTCTACCGCCTGGACCATCAGTCAAAACTTCAACATTTTCTAAATCTACTTTGTCACGTGTCCAGTGCGTGTTCGGCATTGCCGAGTCTTTCGGTAACGCTCGATATTCATCTGCGTTTCTCGGCGGCCTGTTTATTTTTATCCTGTGCTTTCCGATTGTGCTGTGAAGTTCCATGGCCGTCTGTCCTGTATAGACCTTAGTGCAATCGTTACACTTAATTTTTTAGACATAGTCCCTGGTTCTCTCTGCCCGGAGGCGATCTTCCAATTGCATCAGTGCAGAACGTGGAGTGTTTCCCTTCTGGACGGTTACTCTTATGTTAGCCGTGATTAGAATTCCTCGAATGACTTCCAGTATTCCTGGCTTATATGGACAATCAGCAGCCCCAATTCATTCCCTTTGGGTTTCGTCGCCGGTACCAACACCGTTCAAAATTGACGCCTAATCAAACTAGCTGAATATCCACTACCCCAAAGTTTGTTCTTTGCTTCAATTTAGGCCGCTGTCCGATCAACTTCTGTGCACAGGGCCCTTACACGCTTAAACATTGATGAGGTAATACTGGCGATACCGACTTCGGATGGGCAGATGAGTGGTTCATTCAAAATGGCCCAATGTCCGGTGGCTTCTCGTACATTGTGGTCTTTAGTTTCCCCCGACCTTATGTGTCATGCAGTCTAAAAAGGCCAGTGTACCCGAAGTTGACTCTATCCCCATACTAAATTTGATGTGTGGACTCAGTTCATTCAGATAGTTGTAAAACTCACTGCCCTTGTCTCACCTCATTACAATGAAGGTGTCATCTACATAACGCCAGAATATATTGGGTGGGTGCGGGAATCCGGATAGAGCTTTCTGTCCAAAGTCTCACATAAATATACTTTCCCAAACCGGGGATATTGGAAATCCCGTTGGTAGCTCTTGAGTCTAAACCACGAAAATCGCGGACGGTCTTCTCTTGAAAGGTGGCATTTCGGGAGAAGAGGTGGGACAATCAATCAGGTTTGAAGAAATCTAATGAATGGGACCGTAAAGCGCCTAGACTACTATTCTATTTGTTTTGCAGGCGTCCAACTCGGTACGGTGGCATGTCCAATCCAGACCAAAAATATTTCATACTGTCAGCTCAATAAACCAATAGGCGCACCATGACAATCATGAAATAAGTCTATCTTGAGACAACTCTGACAAGTGTTCCGCATATACCACTTCAGTTTCCGTTTGATTGTGTGTTTTCTTTTTCTCAGAATGTGCCACTTTTCCAAACAGTTGATAAACTATTAGGAATCATACTTTTCACCAACTTTATAGCATAATAAGCCGGCTATCACCGGCGTTAAAGTAAGTCCTATTTAGTCACCCATTTGTTTCGTTCATTTTGTTTTATCAACTCAATCCAAGTTGAGTGTGTTCGATCATTGTGCAAATATCGATCCACTGTGACTAACTGAACTATGAGTGATGTTCATTCAAAGCACCCTGCTCATCGGGACCGGGTGCTACCAAATGTTGCTGTGAGCATCACTGAACTTTCACTCTACGCCTCCTCCGAGGCCAGATCTTTTTGTAAGTCGCGAGTCCCTCAGTGTCCCGGGCTCCATCCGAGCACCAAACTTTGAAATTGTGTTGTGTTTCGACGGGGTATCCCGAGGAACAGTTCAGTCTATCACTGTACTTTTAGTCGTTGATGCTCTTCATTTTCACCCTATGGTTTGAAACCACATTCACTTGTGGATTGGACACTTCCATTGATTCATTGTGTGAGTTTTCCTAATGGTGTTTTCCCTAACAAGTACAGTCACAGCACAGTTTTCGGGCCTCTTCTCCGTTGTATAGGCGCCTTAGAAAACTTCGGAAACGAACGCGTCGGGCCGTGATTGCATTTATCAACAGTCGCCAGTGTTTCGCTCTCATCATCATTCTGGTCTTCCTCAACACGGTCGTACTTACCACAGAACATCACAATCAACCCAAATGGCTGGATGAATTTCAAGGTAAGCGGCCTATGATTCTTACCTGGCCTTACTTGCATGCACACAACCCCGCTACAATCGTTTCTATTTTCAACTTCTCGCAGATTTTGCGAACAAAGTGTTTGTGGCTCTGTTCACCATGGAGATGTTAATCAAAATTGCTGCATCCGGTCTGACGGACTACTTTTCCAAACTATTCAATCGCTTCGACTTCTTTGTCGTCATCTTTTCTATCATGGAGCTGCTTCTGGTGAACTTTCGTGTTCTGGATCCAATGGGTGTATCGGTGCTGCGGTGCGCACGACTGTTGCGTATATTCAAACTGACACAGTATGTTTGCTCGTCTGGCAGTACTTTGCTGAAGGCTAAGGGCCTGGTTTTGTTGATTGTGTTGAATTGTATAGGTTTTGTAGTTTCCAAGTGTGATTGTTCCTATCATCGGATTAGTCAGTTCGTTTTCTCGTCCTTTATCAGACCTTCAGACGCATCTAGGGTTAGCGTCAAACTAATTAGCTACCGTCTATTGATAGGTTCGACAGCCATCGCCATAGCTAACGTATCGAAGCCACTTCTAGGAAGAGAATAACAGATTTGGATTATGCGAAACCAGAATACCTGGGGTGATCCCATGTTTTGGCATGCGTTTTGCACCTTCAAAGTGCACAGTTTCACTTCAAAATTTCCAATCCACTTGTGCTTCTATGAAACTTCAGAAAGAAGAGCTTGCTTTTGTTGGTCATTTCAACTAACTTGTACTGTGACAGATGAAGCTAATATGTGGATATTGAAGGCTTGAACAGCGTTCGCTTACTTTCATAAAGGAAACTACTCACAAGGTTGCTGAAAACTCTTTGACAGCCCACGAGCGGTTTTGCCCTTCTTGGGGCTCATCGGGTAGGCGCAGTCCCCGAGTTTCCGTCAACCTTTTGACCCCAAAGTGGACTCTTTTCGAGGAATACACTCAATTGCAAATCGATTTGTTTTTCGCGAGAGACTACTCAACTGAATCTCTCGTTTATGATATCCTACAACTGAATGTGCTGCACACAGGCCACCTCACTTATCAGTTGGCACGATATTCGAGATATCGCAGTATATTTCATAAAGGAAGCTACTCACATCGTTTATGTTGTCAGAATGGAATGTCACTGAAGCTAAAAGGCCGTCAAAGCGGTTGTGGGAATGGGCTCCTCCAGTCCGAGAGTCTGAGGCGTCTTCAAGCTTTTGGTCACTGGTGTCTCTGCGGCATAGCAAGAGTAAGCTGGTTGTCCGCAAAGAAGCGGTGCATGGGCTGGTAGTTGATAGTGCGTCCGATTCTTTGAAGCAGCAGAATAAACTTGACGGTTGGGAGCGACTGGAGAGTGTGCTCCGTGTGTCCAATCACCGTCTATCCAAGAAAGCATTGTTTTATGTTCCCAGGGACTGTTGGCAACGTGAAATAAAACTAGCTGTGGGATCCTCGCTCCTTTTTGGTTGGGGCCTATGTGATCCTGCTTGTGGTTGAGTGGAAACCCTGCAGGACACGGCACACGCAACCGTTGCTAGTGGCGCTTGATGTCATTATCTAGCTGGGCTGCTCACTTAAATTTCACCTGTCGTTGTGTGCTGGGCTTAGGTCGAGAGATGTTCGTATAGGATGGTGATGACGCCTTACTACAACATTATACTCGTATGTGTTTATTTTAGTGATCTCTATAATTGTAGGCAACTTGTCCTCGCTCGTTTTCCCCAAAGACATAGGGCTTCTTCGCACTAAGCCCCGAGCCTTCCACCCCTTACCATAGCTTTCTTCCTTCATGCTTGTATAGCACAGTTAAGCACCAGCATGTCAAGTTTGTGAATGATGGGAGCCTGTGTGGCTGGGACGAAGTTGCTGCTTGACAGTCAACACCGCTTAAATTGAGAAGTGTATGACAAGATGATAATAGTTGAAATGACCTTGAGCGTCTCGTTTTGCTTGCTGCACATGAGAAGATACGAGACGGAGATGAAGGAGACCTGCGACGGTGTCTGCAACACCTGGTGTCCATAGCAGTGATTCTTCCTTTCTCTGTACACTAATATTGTCATTTTACAGTAAAGGGACTACAGAGCGCCCGCAGAAGACGGAGCAATGTAGACTGTATCCAGTAGTTGCACGTGACCACATTTTTTTCGGAAAGAAATCTAAAGTGCAACGACCCACACATGGTTGCGACCTTGGGTAGCGGTGAGGTGCTCGTTGATGGCCCACGCTAAACTGTTGTGATACGGGATATCGATGCAGGCGAACAGACACAAAACCAGACGCACATAATGACGGTGTGCATACCAACGCCTGTGAAATCGGGATTGCAACTTGTGCCCTTGGAATGAACAACAAAAGAGGAACATAAAGGTCGTTCCGTCTCGCATGAAACGTTGAAAATCTTCGGTACCGACATCATCACATGGGTAATTTAGGGTATCGTACTACATCTAGCACACTGTGATGTGGAAGGTGAACCGTTCACCGGAAATAATGTCATGGTTGGACCGAGTGGTTTAAATAGTGCAGAATGTGCTGCTTCATGGTTTTATATACTGAGTGAACCACAGCCAAAATGTCACGTGTCAGTTAAAAAATGAATGAAACAGTGTGTAATGTCTCTCTAGTACAACAAAGTTAGATTTCTTGAATGCAGTGCTACTCAAAATCACAGCAGAATATTTGCCGAATTCCATCCACTTCGAGTTTAAGTAGAAATGGGGTTGACGGAAACTCGGGAAACGCACCTACCTGATGAGCTCCAAGAAGAGCGAAACCGGTAGTCGGCTGTGGAGGAGTTTTCAACAACCTTGTGAGTAGTATGTTCAGGCTAGACTGAAACACGTCAAGGTCTTGGGTAGCATACTCAGCCGAAGAAGACCACCATAAAAGGGAAATATTTAGCTGAATTGAGTTGGGTCAAAATCAAATTCGTACACAAATGTGAGTCTCTTTGGCGGAAGTTAGATTTTCGTAGCTGTATATTCCTTTGAAAAGTAAATTGTGTTTGTTAACGAATGATTCATCCACCTAAGAGTAGAATCTCTCATAACAACCATCAACTGAATATGCCTCATGCTTCAGCTCGAGTGAAATTTGGGATACCAAAACAGTGTACTTTACGAGTTTGTTGAAAACCCTGAGTAGCACACCGTTAGTTTCGCTGTTCTTGGGTTCTTTCGGGAGAGCGTAATTCCCGAGTTTTTCCAATATTATTTCGTGCTCGAAGACCAATTTTTTATACAACAATTCGGTCTCAGCGGGAAATTCAACTGAAACTCTGGTCTGCACCAGTCTCCAGTTGCTTACAAATTACTGTTCATTCGGGAGATAATACTGATGGAAGTTTGGCCGACTGCATCTTTGTCATGAACCCCAAGAAGGGCGTAATTGGTTGTATGCAGTAGTAGAAATGTTTCCAGTAATCTGACGGCACTGGTCCAAGAAAATGTACTGCGTTATCTGGAATAGTCTATTGAAGCGATGGTAACCTTTGTGCAGCACATTCGGTCTAAAAACATCATGAATGTGAGACCCACTCCATTCTCCCGTTTACATCAATGCAATTTGGAAATGAGTTTACTTCGCTAGTTGTGTACAGCTTTGTGTTCAAGTAGAGTATAAGATTGATGAAAATCCAATGAAGCCGGTGACCATATAAGTAGTATTGTTTCAAAATATTCGTATCCTTTTATTCTGGTACATGATGAATCCGCCAGACAGAGGCGTGTATTTAGTCTAATGCTGATTTGTTTTTTGACAAGTTACTTTGCAGCATCAATTGTTGTGTTTGTACTCTTAACAGGAACCACTGAGACCTCACTAGGTCTGTTCGACACGCAGTTGGAAGGATTGCTTCGTTGCAGTCAAATATCACCTTTGGATCGTGATGCTGAATACGTACGCTATTTGGTGACATGTGAAAAAATTTGGAAGAAATTGCTTCAATTTCGACATTTCTAGAAATGGGGCCCTAATTTTGATCAATATTACCTAAGCCTAATTAAGCCATTCTGAACTAACGTTTAAACCGATTGCTTTTAATCCTTTAAATTCATAATCATTTATTTATGTTGACTTCTGTGCTTTAAATGCTACCACTCAAGGGGACTAATACCCCTGAGGTTTCTTCGTCCGCCTCAATGAAACTTGTAACACTGCATTTTTTCCTGTTGAACACAGGTACTGGGAAAGTTTGCGGAGCCTGGTTGGAAAACTGCTCAAATCAGTCCGCTCCGTCGCCAGTCTACTGCTTCTGCTGTTTATTTTTATATTGATCTGCTCCTTGTTGGGGATGCAACTGTTCGGTGGTCGGTTCAATTTCACCGAGGAGGAAAAACCACGTGCTAACTTCGATGGAATACTTCAAGCTATGCTCACTGTATTTCAGGTCAGTGCGTTTCTATCTCTGTGTGTGTCCGTCACACACTCATCTGTCATAGTAATGTCTGAGCGTAGGTGCATTCCAAGGTCATGTGATTTGGTGACTCAGCCTAATCAATGTACGAGGGACCGTCAGACGGCCAAAATAATGAAGCTACATTCCATGAAATTTTCAGTAAAGCGCTCTCAACTGGTTTATCTGGAAAAGACGAAATTTATCATGAGAAAAGAAGAGCAAAACTGGAATAAATGGGGTTTGTTACCACAAGAATGGGTTGATGTGTTCAGGACTACTTGTCATCTGGCTTCAGTGTTTTCATGGATTACGTACTGATGAGTAGATCGTAACCGACATACTCAAAAAGGGCAAAAAGTTTATGTTGCCTCTACAAGTCTGCTTTAAGTGAGCTTGGCAACGCCACTTTACTCTCTGGTCAAAACTTTGAGAACTTGATTTTAAATGGACTGTATCTTTGGTCTTTGTTTTGGCGTACAAGTCTGCTTTAGGTGAGCTTGGCAACGCCATTTTACTCTCTGGTCAAAATTTTGAGAACTTGATTTTATATGGACTGTATCTTTGGTCTTTGTTTTGGCTAGAAACCTAATTATTGGGGTCCTGTAAGGAGTCACCGCACACTGTCTATTTAGTCTCTCTACGTCTCTTTGGTCATAAGTTTCGAGAGTGTGTGACACAAGAATTTATTTGTTGCATCAGTGTGAGGGCATTTGCGCATTTTCACTTATGAGGGCTTTATGCTCTTTTTTCATCCCTAATTCTTAGCGTCAATGGCAAGTTTAGACCAGACACGGGACTCCGAAAGGTCGACCGAATTCGAAACGGCTATGTTTCGATTGAAAAGCTGTGCTCACACACATAAGCGTGGTATCCCGCCGAAAATAAAGGATACATAGATTTGGCTTCTTCTGAAAGGGTGGTTTTTGTTCCCGGGGTTCCCATTCTAGGGTAAATTTTGTTAGGGAAGAGCTATGTTTCCTTGGTGGGGACCACTGGGATTGACCGTATAAAGGATACTGCGAGGATGTTACCCTCAAACGGGACGAAACCAGGGCAACTACTTCTCTGCACTACAACAAGCTTACCCCAACAGGGTAAAGTTGACGAGACAGAACGGACGTGTTGTGTCTGTGTGGGTTGTCTGCTTTACTAGTTATTGCGCAAAGAGGTTGTGGGCATACTCCTCTCACCGTCATCGGCCGATCAGACCCCACAGAAAGTAAATAGCATGGATTGTGTACTGCCTATCGGTAGAAATTAGCCAATTTGCTCCACCAGTGAGGAGTGATCACCTCTTCTCCATCACGGTGTCAACGCAGCGAACATTGTGGCCTTTGCGTGTTGTGCAAAGAGGTTGCGGGCATACTCCTCTCACCGTCATCGGCCAATCAGACTCCACAGAAAGTAAATAACATGCATTGTGTACAGTCTATCGGTAGAAGTTAGCCAGTTTGCTCCACCAGTGAGGAGTGATCACCTTTTCTCCATCACGGTGTCAACCCAGCGAACATTGTGGCCTTTGAGTGCTGACGCGATCATAAGCAATATATCATAACCAACACCATAGATACTTCAATCCAGTTATTATTTTGATCACATTGGCATAATGGCCATCCACCAGACTGTCACCTCATTCTATAGAAGAATAGCCTTGGACTAGACAAATTACTCTTTATTCTAGCGAAAAAAACTGCAGCTATAAGCCATGAATAATTTCTGTTTGTAGCGTGGTTTTTTGCAGAAAAACTAGAAAACACTGATTTCTCGATAGACTTGCCATTCGGAAATTCTAAACGAAGGCCAGCAACACCACAACTGTCAAAATAAAACGGAACAAACATTATCTGATGCTAAGCAAACCTGATTATAAGCGCTGCCGTTCTGTTTTTTTACATTGCTATTTCACTCTTTCTCGTTCCCTTTTTTTAAAAAAAAATTAACAATTTTCCCTCATTCAGATTCTCACTGGTGAAGACTGGAATGAAGTGATGTATGCCGGCATGAAAGCTTACGAGAACACTCACTGGTACGGAGTCGTGGTCATCTATTTTATATTCCTCTTTATCGTGGGGAACTGTATCCTTTTGTTGAATTGTTTTGACAGCGTTTCATCTCATTCGTAACCATGATTATCGAAAGTAGGTTCCGAAGTATGTTCCACCTCTCCACCCGACTGGCCGCATGACTCTGTTGTGTTTGAACCAATCAAAGTAGCACTGTACGACTCAGTTGCATTTACCTGAGTCCGCAGTATTCTAGCCATGTGGGTCGTGTCCTTCTTCGCCACTCACCTAGCCCCAGTTGTTTGGATGCTTTTGCATTAAAACGCCTTTTGGTTGGACGCTCCATTAGGACGCCTAACACGATCGACTAGGATAACGTTTCAGGACCTTAGGTTATATCAATTGTACGACCTGGCACTATAGTGTGCGGAGCTCAGAAAGGGTCTACATGTTCTCACTCACTAGGACAAGTATCATTTCGCTAAAAAGCGCCCAGTAAGACTTGAGACAGATCAGCTCACCGATACCTTCATTTAGTAGATGAAGTTTTATGGCAACGAAGTTATGTGGTAACTATGGGGTCAGGTAATCCTAAATTTAACCGGGTTCATGCAATAACAGAAAACCCGGAGGCGCCGGGGATGCGATCAAGAATTCTCCGGAGGGGGGGGGTAATCATCTTTCCTACGTTTCACTTCAGTTACTGACACAGAACTGTGAAAATGCGGAGTAGAGGAGCCATCCGCAGCGAAGCGCACCAAGGCAAAGTCATGGGCTGCAATTTCAAAACGTCATTCGTCTTTCGATGAAAAGCTGTCCACCAGCTATTCGAAATAGCGACCTTTCCGGATGAGTCTGTGAGAGCTCTCATCTATCCATGAGTGACATTGTGAGAAGAAATGCCCACTTACCATTAGGTCATAGATGGGATTAAGAGATCACAGGTTCCATGAGCTTGATGGAGCCACTAAAATGATTTTGGCTCCGTGTGTTGGAGGTATATAAGGATCAAGAGGATGCGTATTAGGTACGCAAATTTGCCGATTCTTATGATAGGCAAAACATGCAGTCAAATTTGATCCAAGTGGTCTTTGTTGGCTATTCGGCGGCCTATCAGACGCTTTACCTTGTTTTGTTCCCGAGAAACTCTGCTCTGAAATAAAAAGATCTCATGTCAGCTTTATTTGCGTTTCATTGCAGTTCTTTGACGGCTACTTCGTTCTTTCAGGTTGCACATGTTTTGTGGAATATTATCCACAAATTCCATTTTTACAAGTACTCCAAAAATTAATTTGTGAACCACAACAATTGACTTTTCGCCTAGTTCCTTAACCGAGTTGTCCAGATATTTTGCTCAATGTCTTCTTGGCTATTGCCGTGGACAACCTGAATGACGATGATGATGAGGATGAGGAGGGAAACGGCGCTGATGCCAAAAAGGAACCTGAAAAGCCTGCCGACGAGGCCAAACAAGAAGAGGAGACCAACTCAAACGACAAGGGTCTTGCAGATGGCGTCGTGTAAGTCTGGTTCACATTCGAGAGTGAACAGTAGTCATACATGAATGATATTTGTTTCTGTGTCAAAATAGTCTACCGTACATCAGGTCCGTTTGACCTTTTACACTCGAAACATGTGTGGGTCGTGCTCAGGTATCAGGTGACAGATCTAGACAGGGTACTTTATGTTTTTCGTGCTATGGATAATACGTACACATTCCTGATATGCCGAAACAGCTTTGGTCTGGTTCGTCTATCATTTCGTTTGATTGTGAAGAGCTTAGGTTTTCTAGAGTTTCGGTGCCCATTTCCCATAGAAAGCCCCAGTCCTGTGATGGCCTACCGTCCAATCTAGGCATCTATGCTAAGAATGCTTAAGCCTACTCATTCATGTTGAGTTCAGCAGGTTTAACTGTGAGCGTTTTGGCTTCTAGAGTTTTCACTGGTAAAGTGATTCTTTTCCCAGTACAGCTAGACTTGGTTGTTCATTGGCTTTCTTTCTATTTCAGTGCGAAGGCTGAAGAACCATCAGCCGGTGAGTTGATTTTCAGATTGTTTCGGCTTCAGCAGTGGGGTGCTCTCGGGTCTCAGATTTTTGTCATAGTGAGCTATTTCAGTGGTTGCTTTTCGACTGTTGTGTGGGTCGGATTTGTTCGCATCCGTTTAGTCGTGTGCCACCTGTGTTTTGACAGTTTAACTTTTCTTTCTGGTCAGCATCATGCTCGGCAACGGTATCAAGCACTTTCTCACAATAATGATAAACAAACTCGCCAGCAAAAAACGACAGACTGTGTTCTTATCTTCACAAACTAGCCTTGTATTTTTCATTTCCCAAATTTATTTGGTTTACTCATTCGTGTCGTCCTTTGCTCTTGGTCACAAGTCCCCAATCATCATAATCAGTGTTTGCCTGCAGTTTCGAACTCTATCCTACCAGATGATAGGACGAATCAGTGGCATTGTTGTATCAGAAGAGGACTAGATTTGGTCTAGACGTAACACTCTACTCATAAGGTCGCTGAAAACTATTCGACAGCTAACGAGCAGGTTCGCCATTCTTCGGGCAGTCCCCAATATACCATCATGAACGAGAGATTTAGCTGGATTCATTTGACTCTCCTGTCAAAAAAACATTCGTATGCAAGTGAGGATAGTTGTCAAAGGCTAGGTTTCGCTTCATCCATCGAATGGTAAAGGTACTTCGTAGAATTTCGCGTTCCTAATATTTTTCTGCTTGCTTCTGGAGAAACTTATTCGAATTTTGTGCACCTTTATCTTTATCCTGTAGTTAGTCTGGAAAACACATCTGCTCCGGATCAAATTTGTTATTAAAGGTGCCCTCATCGGATGTTGCCACCCTTCGTATACATAGAGGGACTCTATGTACTCTAGCTGCGCTTGTTGCCTTAAAGCGACTGTGTTTTCGCCGCGGGTGGGCCGGTTCTAAAGGAGAGGCGCATTTCTCGTCCCTGCACAATAAGTGAGAATCGCAAGGATTAAGAACGATTTTGGGAACCGAAATTCGGGTTAGCAGCTTCGACAAACCGTATTCTGAGTAAGATATAAATAGGATCTTTTAAGTCTTCATGAATCAGACAAGTTTAGAACAGCCAGTTTCCAGGTTTCCGCAAGAAGTCGAACTTGGGCATTTCATATTCAAACCATGAATACTATCCATTGGATTACATGGGTGATCCTACTTCATTTTGTGTACTATTATTCAGTCACCTTCCAAGCTTGAGTCTGCAGAACTATTCTGAGACTGTGGCGAATATGAATGAGTTTAAAAAGGTTAATGTGGTCATATGTTGGTTCGCACCGACCACTGTTCCGGTCTCACCTATACGTAACTAAAAAGCAAAATTTCAAGACAAATATCGGCTCACCATTATTAATTCGGATCTTTGTTCGTGGGAATGTTTAACGTGAAAGCAAGGTCACTTGAACATGTATGTCAGACGTGGCCGGAAGAACTGGAACATACGGTAACTCCGCTACTTCCGTGCTAAACATAAAAGCTTCGGTATGGCGCCGTAACCTACGTTAACAGGTCTTCCATTGGAGGGGGTTGACATCTCCCCTCCTTTAGAGCCCAAATTTCACAACCAAACATAATTTTGGCATTTTGCGGCGACGTGGTGTTGTCTTGCGCTATGAGCTGTCCAAACGTCTATCCTTCAATATCTACCAGAGGGGTTACGTCAGCCTCTTATTTACGGCTTCTCAAGTTAGTGGAACCAGCTAGGCTAAAACAATAATGCGTTTGTGCGGAAAAAAAACTCTGTAACCGGCACCCAGCTGGCTGTTGGCTGAGAGCCAGATATCACGTTTGATGCTACATTCAAGCCATTCATGTCTACTCGGCTCGCGTACGGTAATGAAGTTCAACAACTTATGCTGGAAGTTCTGATTTAGACTGACCTCTGTGTTTGTACGGTATGAAACTTCCTCACGTCTGTTTTAACCCCCAGTAGGTGGTAGTTTTCAACGAAATTCAAAATGTCAGTGGCTCCCATGGTTGCATCCCTTTGGTTGTCGATGCTGAATCTGCTTTCGTGAAAAATCTATAGTCACCTACTTGTTTTTTTTGTGTGTTAAAATACCGCACACTTCCCACTCTGGTGGTAGACGATGCAAACAAAACGTATGAAGAAATGTTCCCCGAGACAGACATCTACGGTGACGAGGGAGAGGGTGCAGACGACAATGGAGAAAATCAAGATGACCAAAAGAACTTTTCCGCTCAGGACAGTCGGACAATGCCTCCGCACTCGGCCTTTTTCATATTCTCAGATACGAATAAGTAAGTGCATTCACTTTCGTTACAGTGTCGAAAAGTTGCCGTAGTCCTGGTTGGGGTATTCTGACGAGTCTGTGCGTGAACCAATCAACAGACTTTATGTAGAAGGCTTCTTAAAATCTGTATTTGTTTAGTTTGTGAACTGACACAAACTGTTTTCCGAACTGGTAACCTTGCTACTGCATTCATAGACTTCAGAAACTGCAAAATCAATCATGTTTGACTTGCGGATAGATTCGCTTGATCCGCCCTAAAGCTTCAGTTCTAATCGTGAATATCTGGGTCACTCTCCAATACTACTTCCACCAGATTAAGAGTCTTCAGCTTAACAACTGGTGCTGTTGCTGTCCAGACGGCCTTTCCTGAAAGGACTCTAGGGAAACATCGTGAAACAACCCCCTGCCATACCGTTTAACAATTTATTGCGACTTGTTCTTCTGCCGACTGCAATGCGATTAAGCGGAACTAAAATAGCCGGACTTTGACATCATATATTGGAAGACCGACACATGTGAGCGTTCAGAGACTTGACTCAAATCAATGAGATAGTCAACCAACCACCACTCATCCGGTATGGCCACTTATCCCGTCATGAGTAAACAACACACGTTTGTTGATCAACCGACCGACCGTCTTCTCCAATGGAGAGTGTATAGAGATGTTTGTTTGTACATCATTGGTACTCTCCAGTATGTGCTCGTAGCAGGTAGTACGCACTTATGAAAGGGCCTGATTGGCAGAGACATACCGATTTCCCTTCTTCATTCGAGGACGTTCTGGGAACTGACTTTAATCGTATAGACGCACCGAATGGAACTCTTTATCGTCCTGAGTTGGCCACGCAGATGGTGGCGCATTACCTGACGGACACAACGAATGAGCTTACGTAAACAGCAGCTGGTACATACGTGTCCGGGGCGAGATGGCCCAAGTGGTTAGAGCGGGAACTTACTGACCGGAAGGTCTGTGGTTCGAACCCGACCTCTGCCTCTCGACTTCCCTGTCTAGGCTTGGGAGACCTGGCAGTATTCCGGCCATCGTGCAACCTTCGGGTGCAGCCAGATACGTGTCCTTCCTTTGGAAGACGTCAGCCAACCACGCTGGAATGTCATCTCGTGCAGGCCACAGCACGTGTCTCAACAGACAAGGATAAGCCAGTGAGTACTAGTCGACCGATACGAATCGCAACCAGTGACCACAGCCGCACCTGGCACATGAACTGTAACAGCGCAGTCAAGAAAAGCGAAACCTTGTTGTTACGGTATAGCTAATGCACACACAAAAATCGGTGTTTTAAAGGAAAACTCATTGGGTAAGGCACATATGCAAGTTCACAGGCAACGAAGGGACCAAGTGCCGTTGTGTAGAGAAGCATGCCCCATCATATTTCCCATCGTTTTACTCAGCATATTTTTGTTGACTTCCACTTTGCGGGACTAATGGAAAGCACAGAAAACCAGGAGAGCTGTACTACGGTGACCTTGTCTTATAAGCACCCTCCATATAAAAGTTCCCTGGTACTTTGGACCCATAAGGACTGTGTAAATTTCCCACCCTAGAGTTTTGTACTCACCGGTGAATAACAGCAGCTGGTCACGTGTTTGTAGGCAGGTGTTTTTGTGGTTCTAGGATAACTACCACTCTGATAGTTATATATCGTGAAATTTCTCGAATACCAGTTCGGACGATCCCAGTACTAAGGCATTCAACTGGACCTCATTCAGCTGGAAATAAGCAACCTAAGGGAGAATAAAAAGTTTGAAAAATCGATCAGACATGTGAGTTCATACTGTGTTAGCGGCCCCGAACACGGTAAATTTTTAACTTGTGGATACTGTTTGATCGACTAACCCAAATGAACAATACTCATAAGCCATCGTACCACAATAGCCTAACTTCTTGCACATTCAGACCGAGGCTGTGTGCAAACATGTACTTTCTGTTTGGCCTCCAGGCCACACACCAGGGCTGAGTCCCTGTCAGCAGGAGGCAAGCGATTTAAACTGAATGACTATTCTATAGATGTAACACACTACACGTACGGTTGGTGAGAACTCTTCAACAGCCCACGATCGGTTTCGCCCTTCATAAACGAGAGATTCAGATTCCCGTGAAAACCGAGTTGGTATGCCCCTGGGTGTGAGTGACTATTCGTTTTTCAACTTCTCGCTCATTAGGCTGAGTTTATTCAAAATGAATCACACGGGGCTAGTTTTCAATCTTCTCCATCCGTCTGGTTCCCTCCGATCCTTCTTGCAGATTCCGAATTTTCTGTCACAATGTGGTTTGTCTCTCCCATTTCGGAAACATCGTCCTTGTGTGCATCCTGGTCAGTAGCATTCTTCTAGCAGCCGAAGATCCTCTCAATTCGCAGTCTTATCGAAATAAGGTAAGAGTTGAACTTGTACCAACTGTTTGCAGAGATGGTTTTGTGTGATATCCCGTATCAAACTCGAAACTAACGTGACAATACCGCTGTTCTTTTTTCCACAACTCACAGATTCTGAATATGTTCGATTACTTTTTTACCAGTGTGTTCACAGTTGAAATCACACTCAAGGTGAGTTCCGAGGAATTCTTTGATCATCATTTAGTAAGTGGCTCAGAATGTACTCATTTCAGTCATGAGTCTAGATAGCTTCCAGACTAACTGGTTAGCCCAATATTCAAAAAGAGACTTAAAGGTCACCACATTCATACTTTTCAGTCTCAGAAGCACTAGTCAATACATTTAATTCTAAACACGGATTACTGCCACCGCTGCCACAAAGGACGTAAACCTCGAGCTTTTAGCAAGCTATTAATCAAGATTATATCCTGCAAGCCAGGATAACCAATGCTGAAAAACTGTGGAGCACTGTAAAAGTGTTTCACTCTTGTTAGCAGCCTCAGTATTGCGTATCCCATGAATCTTTGAGGAGATCCGAACACATGATCTTTCTGTTAGTGGTTGAACACTGTATCACTCGGCTGTGGGTGACTGGCCGGCAGTCTGACCAGTTTGTCCAAAAATGAGGAAATTTACAAGTCCTTTCATCCTTCACACTGAAAAGGCAGAACTCGAGAAGTCATTCAACACGTGATTTCTATTGTGTGATGAAAGACAGGGTGCAAGCTAATCATACTGTTGATCAACTGCTATTGGCCAGAAGATTTGGTGTCTAACTAGAATCCGAGATGTAGTAGGCTCGAATCTCTCCTGAGGCTTGTGAGAGACACACTGCTCATCATTTCCAAGAAGAATTAAACAGCTGTGCGCTGCTTCTGGGCTTTTTAGCATGGAGTGACTTCAATTACAGAATGAAATACTGATTAAATTTCAAAGTTTTATGATGCTAGCTACCTAGTTGTTTGGTTACTCAAAACGCTAGCCAATCGGAATCCAGAAAGATCCTCATTGTTTAGTGCTGGTGGAGAACCTCTCCCATTGTCACGGAAGCATATTTTGTCAACACCACAGGGTGAGGTTTATCGATCGTTTCATGTGTTGCTAAGCGATGGGCGTTTGTGACCTTCATTTTGAAATATATTCTTCCGTTGGACCTATTCTCCATAATCTTCATCACTCACGTTTTCCTACTTGGTTACATATTTCTACCGAACCTTGAAGCAAAAATAACAGGAGTCTGTGACGGTCTTACATTACAGATGATTTCTTATGGATTCATTCTTCACGAAGGTGCATTTTGCCGCAGTGCTTTCAACTTGCTCGATCTGATCGTGGTCTGTGTTGCCCTGGTCTCCTTTGTGTTACAGTGAGTATCTTCATCCCTGAATCGCATGTTTAATTTCGAACAAACACGTTTCTGGGTTGAACAGAAACAGTGCTGCGTGCTCCAAAGTTTCGTGACTTTGATTGCTGCTAAAGGAAAGATTACAGTCCTATTTATCCTTTGAATCAACTATGTGTTTTACAAAATGTGTTCCGCTTGTCTGCGTAGATCACTAGTTAAGTTTGGAGTAGACGATTCACATGTTTTGCGGGATACCCGACTGGTTTAAAGTGCATTGTTGTTACCCTTGTCAACGGGTCCTTTCAATCCGAATGGAAATACGGTGTGTGTTGGCGTTACGACCACCCGGTCTCCCACACCTTTTCGTACCCACTCAACGTAGAATTTTCAGAAATGAAGTGTGTCTACCCAAACTCTTGAACATGGGTACTCACATCTGTAGGTATATTACGAAACAAGTACAGGTGCGAGGCGGTATCATGGCGAGAACATCATTAGTACAGAACTGACTGCTCACTAAAATGAAAAACGTTCGTTAAACTTGGTTACTAAAAAGCATCAGTCTAGTATGATTATGGACAAATTTTTCACCACCCCCTGATTTCCTACCTTCAGTTCCCATACTGTTTGTAGGATGCGATTACCTTCACATTCCCGTGCTGTCGCAGTCACCGAAGTGATTTCGGTGGCCGTAGCCCACCCAAGAATTACGTTTTGAAGTGTCTCCACCTTCTTGAAATCTGACTACGAATGATCTGTCAATGACTTGTTTGACTGCATTCAGTTTGGTTAGGCTATCGACCAGACTGTGATTTATTACTTCCTGATTGGTCCGTCTGGTTGGTTTGCCGTCTGGCCTTCAAAACCCACTTTGGTTACGATGGTGACCTACCAACCATTTATGCGCTTGCCCCAGTTCAATTCAGCTTCATTTAAAACATGGTTAGCTTTCACCGGATTTCACGTGGTGAGCTGCAGAAGCAACATTGATTCGTTGGGTCTGCATATAGTACTCCGATTCTGAGGCGGAATAGCTCGCTAGAGCTCAGGCTCATAGTATTAAACACAAAGTCCCTAAACGGTTGGTGGAGGGTAATGCTTTTTTTATCTTTTTTATGTTGGAACTCTGCGTTTTCATGACTTTGTGAAAAAAAAAACAATTTTACCCACGCACCCCACTGTCCCGTCTCAGCCGCTTGGTTGGTTTGGGTTTTGCGTGAAGACGTGCAATCGCCATGCCATGCTATCCCGAAATGGGACACAAGAGATCGGCTACCAAGACCACCGACCAAGCGTAAGGATGGTTAATTTTTTGAAGGCCTGACTGCAACCTGATTACACAGTTCGGCCCCCTTGTGCTGCGCTCGCGCTTCAGAGGCGAGCGTGTCTACCAGCTTACGGTTCGCCCGCCTGCTAGCGTGGCATGCTACGATGAGTCATGAGCACTGGGCTTGTGATCTGAGGCCAGTTGCACGCGTGGGAAATCTGGCGTACGCACCGATAGTTTGGACACCCGATGAGGCCTAGGTTTCTGCGGCTCGGCACCTATGCTCACATGCCATTGGCACGTGAGAAAGTCTCAGCTTCAGTGCAGTTGTCGTGGTGACTGCGCCCTAATGTCGGAATTCCAAACTCAACGACCGATCTGATATCGATGGTTGGCTTCCTTCAAATGCGTCCCGAGGAAAATACGCTGCTGGGCACATTCAAACCGTTCATCGATGACCATATTTTACTCGTCGCGCTGACATATAGCACCAGTGGTATCTTGCGGCTCTCAGTAGATCAGCCGGCAGCCTTCATCGGACCAAGATTCCCACGTGAACCTTACGGACAGTGTCCCTCCGTTTATGTGTGCAGTGCATGAATATCCCGCCAAGCGGACCCAAGAGATTGATTTCTACTGGTCAAGTAATATCTTCGGCTCGAGCTCATTCATACGATATCTAATTTCTCACGGTCAATTTACTTGACTTCCGTTTGACTACTGGACGCACAACCCTTCTTCTTGAAGTCGGTCCATCACCTTTATGCCTAATAAATCGAATAACTTTGTGACCTTTCACAGTAATTTCAATAGGTTTGATCTATCAAAAGTTACTAGTATCCCTGTGACATTCAATCATCAGCGGAACTTTTTTCTCGGTGCACTCAACTACAGTGTGTCCAAGTATTGGTTGCATCCAGTGGTCAAGTGGGCCACGCCGAGTTACACGGTAAATGAATGAATGAATGAGTAAATAAATAAATAAATAAATAATCACAAATCGATTCGTCCAAATGAAGGTTTGTCAATAAATGCGGTGCTGTAAGTGCAATAATACGATTATTAAAGTGGTATAAACCTCAAATTGTGAGATTACACAGGCTCCTATACACCAGGTTTATTAAGACTGATTACAAAGGGGGATCCGTACAACTAATGCGGGTTGGAGAACTTTATGTCGAATCACGACAAAAGATTCACAGAGTGAAGAATCCCTAAGACATTTTCTTATTAGACGCAGAAACAATGTGTTTTGACAGCACATGTAGTTAATGAGGCCGCTACCAAAAGCAGGCTTTCTGTCTCGAAATACCGGACGGTTCGCTTTAACAACCTTAGTTTACGTTTAACTGCCTGGTTTCTAACTCCGGGTTCTATCAACTAGTTCGAGGAATTTGACAAAAGTGTGTACGTAATTTGTTTGAGTTATGCACTCGCTTTCTAGAATCAGTTCAGCTCGTCTAGGTGTCTTGCATGTATACTCCATCAGGTCAACTTAGGCAGATAGAATAGTTAAAATACTTTAGTTTCCAGGTGTCTTACTCTTAGAGACGTCTACTAGATGTTGGTACTGTTTTGAATTATTGGTAGATCTGGTGCTACAACTGATATCTGATCAGATAACAATTGGTCTGTTCACGTCATCATACGAAGTGAAATCGTTTCACCCAACCGAACTCTAAAAATATCTGCTCGCACTTTTGAAAACGAATAGCGAAGTTCGGTGAACAGATCGACAAGCTATTGAATGCATTGGTCAGGATTCCTCGGCTGGTGGCTGAATCCCTTCTGTTATTCAGTCACTGAGTGTAAAGCACCTTGGAGTCAGCGGAACAGATTACATAACCGTTTCTGAGTCATAACTGCGTTAATATTCTCATGACCCCGATTCGTTCCACACTCCCTTTGCTGCATGATTAACCCATGAAATGTGGAAATGCTCTATAGGAACTGAAAATTAAATGCCTGTGGGCTTGTTTTTATTAATTCGAGGGCAGATTTCTGAAATTTGTCTTTGAATCCCGACTTATATACCCGCGGTCAAATGAAAGCTAACCACGGCATTGTAACCCCGTTAGCTCACCAAATTCCGGATAGTTATCAAGTTCCGGGGTCCACACATTCATACAACTCCTGTAATAGAAACCGCACTTCATAAGGTTAACCAATATCCTTCATCGGTTTTGAACCTTCCCAGAAGCCAAACCATCTCTGCTGTGAAAATTCTCCGTGTGCTTCGCGTTCTTCGACCGTTGAGAGCAATCAACCGTGCAAAGGGCCTGAAGGTGAGTTGAGCGGCTTAGGTCTGTGAGATGACGTTTTCTGGATAACTCGATCATACCTTTTCACCACTTTTTCAAAACACTTACGATGAGGCTAACATCACTCTTGAGCCAGCTTTTCACAACTTTTCAGAACACTTACGATGAGGCTAACATCACTCTTTGCGCTTTCTGCCTCATCCGTGAAACATGTGCCATTAAGGTTGTTAAACCATCCCGCTGATTCTGCGTCTCCGTTAGGCTAGTCACGATGAGAGCGCCTAAATTCTGTTTAATCACTTCCCTGTTTGTTGAAGCTCCCAACTTCACACGGATTACCTCCTGAGGTGCCGATCTAATAATGATGTTCAACCTAATGCAAATTTTCGCTGAAATTTGTTTTCCAATTCTCTAAAACTTCACAAGTTTACTGCTTATCATGAGGTATCTTCCTGACATTTCCTGGACTGCCTTTTGTCACTTTTCTCATTGGGGTAAAAGGCCTTCTGTGATCATTAATCCTGGCCGTCCATCGAGGCCATAAAGGTCATTTCCTCGAGAAACTGCGAACGGTTCTTCGATTCTAGGCGAATCAGTTTCAATTCTTCTTTTTAAGTGGTGTCTCGTTTATACACGTTTCAGTAATGCATTGGCTAACATCATAGTCCTGTGATTTAATGCACAACCAGAATTTCTCACAGATCGTTGCTTATCTGACCATCTTCGGCTGAAACTAGAGGAAATAAATGATGATATCTAATTTGTGTGCCCGCCTAGATGCTCCCGGCCGTCCGGCCAACTCCTGGCGAACACTACCCTAGATCTAGCTCAAACTAACAATTTAAATCAACTAGTTGAAAAGTACATAATCATGTTGCCGTTACCATGGATAAAACCCATTCCATTATCTCAAACTTAATGCTTGCCATTTGTGCGGGCCCCAGGGTCCACATATCCCGTCCGAGGGTTTTCCGTGATATTTGTAACTACTGAAACAATTTTAAAGTAGAGTGAATAAAATCTCACAAAACGTGAGCTTCGTCTGGCCGTAGATTTTCGCCTGCTGCTGGGAGTGCATCAAACCTAAATCCACTGTGGTTCCCAGAATTTTCGAGAATTCCGATGGAGAACTGGGAGTGCATCAAACCCAAATCCCAGAATTTTCGAGAATTCCGATGGAGATAAAAACGAAAAATTTTATGCTGTTAAAAGAACGCTCGCACAATAAGGATCGACTGTTGTCACCTACAGCTGAATGCCGACTAAAATGCTAACATAAACTTCCTTGTAACATGGGTTATATCATTAACTCACCTCTTCCTTATAGCATGTCGTCCAGTGTATGATCATTGCAATCAAGAGCATCGGTAACATTGTGCTCGTGACGTTCCTGCTGGAATTCATGTTCGGTGTGATTGGCGTGCAACTGTTCAAAGGAAAGTTCTGGAGTTGCACAGACATATCAAAGCGTACAGCCAGTGAATGCAAGTACGTTTTTCTTTCTTCCTCAAGTGAAATGAATGAAGCGATTTCGAATTTATAGTGTAAAAAGTGGAACCATAGAGAGCACAAACTAGGTGTGCATGTTCACTGCATTGTGGTTTTATTTGACTGTGAGATAGAAGAAGGGTTGTCCGATTTTTGTTGCGTTAAGTTGTGATTAATCATCGTTTATTTCATCCAACAGGGGGCAATTTATTGATTACGAAGATATGAACCTGAGCAAGCCAATCCTGATGGAGCGCCAATGGAACAACAGCGATTTCCACTTCGACAACGTTCCAAATGCTCTCCTCACTCTGTTTACCGTGGCTACATTTGAGGGCTGGCCAAAGTAAGCTGGTAATGATGAGCTTTTCATCGCTGCCTCTGGTGAAGAAAGAACAGCACCAGTTGTGTCTATCTGCTTTCTATTCCAAATGAATTATGACTGATTACGGTGTCATATGCATTCTGGTTGATGATAAAAAATCATTCAACAAAAAACCGACAACAAAATTGAGGTGCACGTGAATTTGTTTATCGTTTTGGGCTAGAATGCAGGTGCGTGCCATCACGACATTTTCATGATGAAAAAATGAACTCAGTTTCTTTCCAGACGTCTGGTAACCCAATCACATCAGGCAAGTATGAACCCGTTTGTCTGCTCAGATGTGATGATCCAGGTGTTCTTTTGGAGCAGTGGCTACCCGCTGGCCTCGCGTGTCAGCTCTCCAGATTTCAAATATCCCGCATGACCACTGCTACTACTATTGATTATGTCGTTTACTTTTTCTCGTAATTAGTGGCCTTAGGTTAACCTCTGGTGCGAATTGAACTGGCAGAAATCATTTTTGCTGGCGCAAATAATGTGAATCGTAAATGTAGTGGCAACTGCGCACTGGTCAGCTTTTACGGTTGTATTGCCTTTCATCCGCAGGCTACTCTTCACCTCAATTGATTCAAACGAGGAGGATTATGGTCCGATTACAAACTACCGTCCAGTTGTCGCACTCTTCTACATTACCTACATCGTCTTGATCCCGTTCTTTATGATCAATATATTCGTCGGTTTTGTCATTGTCACTTTCCAACGCGAGGGCGAATCGGAATACAAGAATTGTGAGCTGAACAAAAATCAGGTTAGCTGATCACGCAATGTTGCTTACTGACTTCGGCCTGTTGGTCAATAATAAACGTCTTGTATGGGTCATCATCACTACTAAGCACTAATCATAAGACAACTAATATAATCGTTCAGTTGTGGCACCCTTTTGGTGCCTAGCTTCCATGCCACCCGAAGGAAGCACAAGGGTTGAGATACTGCCAGGTTGCCCAATCCCAGACAGGAACAGTCAAGATGCAGAGTTTGGGTTCGACAGTTCGCGGACCTTCCGGTGAGCTATCTCAAGCTCACTGCCACGGATTTCTCATGTTCGATTCACTTTTCATTCGACCAAATTTTTATGAATATTGTCCTGACATTTGGCGCTTCTGTATTTTGATATTTGTAGAACTCGCTAGCTTCTTGAATGCTGACAGTCTCCGACGCTGAGTTTTCAGTTTTCATCAGTGAAAAACTCAGTTTTCCAATACTACCCCTAAGGTAGGTGAAAAGTATTAGTGCACAGGTGGCGATAGCCATGATACAAATCAGAAGGTGATTGTGCACTAATAGAAGTTTTTAACATGGCAGCGACACGTATAAAAATGAATACAATGCGAAATGGGAGCAAGTCAAAAAGGAACTTATCGTAAGTGAGAGTGCCTTGGTGAAAGTCCGGACGGCGGGAACGTGTTTTCTCCGCAGTTTGGCTGCTACACGTGTTCCATGATTGTCCGTGGACTTGTGGAGAGGTTGA